TCTCTACACCTCGGCATCCGTTTTCTTTTGCATTCTCTCCCGCAACATCGTACCGTTCGACGAAGTCGCTCGTGCCCGTTCGATAGAAACGAAAGTATCGAGCAATATTGTGTTTCAGTTATTAATATTTGTACGTTCGTTTCAAGGTAATCCAAATTCCATCGGATCGTTTTAAATGCTGAAGCAGGTAGCCTGATAGGAGACGATGGTTCGGAAGATTCGAATGACGTCAAATTTCTATGACGATCGAGTGAAAACCACGTTTCAAAACTGATCGACGATTGTGGAGCGAACCGAATAGATGAAAATATTTGTATCGAGCGGTTACAGCAGTAAAAATATTTTCCACGCGGAATTGGAGTATGCATGTATCGAACACTCGAACGAAGGGAGGAATAAACGATATATTTCGATCCTCTATTTTCACATGATAAAGTTATTTCTAATACGAGATATCCAGCCCTATCGTCGCTATACTGACATTCGCGATCTCGAACACTTTATTTCTTCGTTTCGAATATAAATCCTGAACTTACTTTTCTTGCACACGTGTCCGATATCGTCGAATTCGTCGCAGACTATCGGTTGCTCGATCGAACGATATCTGGTGCACATTTGCTGCGAGAACACTAACCTGACGGATACGTCGGTATCTCTTGATCAGGTACCACTGTAACCATCTTCAGACATACATTCTCAGGGTATCGAGCCCCGAAACGATACATAGAAAAGCGAAATCGAAGGAAATAGATCAAGAAACGGGGACAAAAAGACGGAGAAACGCGGCTAATGCGGCATCGCGCGTCGATACAAGTAGCGACCACGAAAATTGGGTTATCTTCGTTCGTTCGTTCGTTTTCGCGTTCGGGTCGAGTGGCGTACGTGGATATCGGCACCGGGGGCAAACTCCTCCGCAATGGTACGATTAAAGCCATAGGATTATGAAACGCGAACGCGAGAGCTTCGGCCGTTCCAAGTGTACACGCATGCATGAACGTTCGTACATAGATAGGAAGAAAAGCGGGTAAAGTCGCGAAGAGAGAATGAGAGAAAGAGAAAAAAGGAAGAAAGAGAGCGAGCGAACGAGCGAGTGTGTAAGATAGAGAGAGAGAGAGAGAGCTTTATAGGAGGCTGGGGGTCGCGTAACGAAGGAGTTAAAGCCGCAGTTACATCTTCTCTGATGTTATTTCACGTCGCGTCATGGAAAATGTAGCCGCGGTGAGCCAATTAAAATACACGCTCGGATTACGAGACGCGCGGGGTCACGAGGATTTCGAGCATTAGGCAAATGCGCCACGCAAAGGACGCATTGACATCCGTGACCCCGCGTAAAAACCGGGCGATCCGTCCTGTCGAGACACGGCTCCGAGAAACGTCGAGCCAGCCCCGTCGTCCCACCTTTGTTCCAAAAATTATTCCAGAGACTTCTCGCGGCTTTTTTACTATCACGCCGCTATAATCCTGTATCTTTACGACGAGATTACACGACCGGTCGTCGGTCGACGCGTCGTTGAAACCTCGTTAAATATCTCACGGACCGCTGGCGCGCTCCGGACCAAAGATTGTCCAGTCTTCGTCGAGCTTTCGTGCTTATAGCCGTTGAAACGGGACGATACAGAAAGTAAAACGCATCGTAATCGCGGTTAATTACACTCGAAAACATTAAACTCTCTCTCGAACCAGAGATTTAACCGCCAATAGTCGCTGTCGCCGGCATCGATCGAGCAGTTATTACGTTTGGATTAACCGAGCTGACTCGTTTTTCCGATTATGGAATACTCGAAGAAGTTGTTTCGATAGGAAAATGGCAATGTTTTAAACATAAGGCGATGTAAAAAACGGTCCGAATCGGCGAGCCCTCTGCTCTCACCTCCGTCGTTGCACCGAATTAACGCTCCGTCGAGGATCCCTGGATTTTGATTGCTCGTAACTCGCCCGCGATCCCTGCCCGCTTCGAATATCGTACACGGGCCTTCGAGCTTTCGCTTCCGACCAAGTTTCTCACCGGGAAATTATGAAGTTCCGCGGTCTGCCGTAGCCTCGCGAGATTGCCAATTTCATGGAATTTATTGTCGTTCGTTGCATTTGCCGGCGATCCGTTGCTAATGGGTGCGCGACCGAGAGAGGCGGCCGCTACCATTTCCAGGCGCTCGTGAATGAAAAATTCCGCGGCCCTGCGCCCGAGTAACTGCAAAGTTCAGTACCGAGCAACAAGTTAAAGAACGATCGCGACACGGAACCGCTTCGTAGCTTTCGAGAATGAAAAGCGTAAATTCCACTCTAGCCACGTAATTACAAAATCTTTGTAAGCCCGCCGCGACGATGACAACGACACGCAGAACTTATCGATTCGTTTCCCATCAGCAACACGCGATCCGAAATTCTATCAAAATGACTGACGCTACACCCCTACGACTCTATAAGGCTCGTTCTCCCCTAATGCACTACCTAATGTCTACCGATAGTTTTGATACTTTCCGTGGTTTACAGGTCAAGTTGTATTTACCGATTTTTTAACAATTAATTCCTCGGATCGACACAATGGAATAAACTCGTTTGGTTATTTAAGGGATACTCGTTAACCCTCTTTTCGATTTAGATTTCTTCGATGCTAGATTTCCGATCGGTACACATTACCGATCCAGAAATATCGTTCACGAGAGTGTTTACACACGCGCGCGCTCGATGCGATCAACTTTGATTTTTCAATAATATCTTTAAGAAATATCGTTGCGGCTTCTAGTCTTTAACGATTTCCAAAGCGTTGCTCCCATCGAGTCGGATAAATTTCAAGCTTCGTATCTACACGAGCGCGATAAATGTCGCTCGTTGTTGTCTCCTGTTAATCAATTAGCAAGAAAACTTCGAGCTCGATCCAATCGAATAATTCCTACCAACCGACGCGATGGAACGAAATACATGTTCGATTAAAAATACACGCTCGTAATAAAAATGAAATATGGATCGTTCGTAGGTTTCTGTGTTGAACAAGCCGCTGATTAAATTCCGACCGACGCTTTTAACAAGCACCCCACCATTTTTTCCATTTACATAAATACATTAAGCGCTATCGGATGGAGCATTTGCAATAAATCACCCCGCGAACAGCCGCGATCGAGCCCTCAAACATTTTAGTTCCCCTCGGTCGGAGCGAGGCGTCGACTTTCGGGAACATCTGGACGACGCGTCTTCCGATGTAATCGTTCGGTACGCGGAACGCGTCGCCCGGAGAATCGTTTCTCGTTCTCCATCGACAAATCCTTTTCCCTGTTAATTATGCGCCGCGCATTAACGCGACCATTAATCACGGTGCAACGATCTAAAGCACGTCTTTGTCGTCGGCCGTATCTAACAGCCCCGTAAAACGTTTTCATATCGACCGCGTAAATTTCTTCTCGGCCTAACGCCATTAAATTCCTTCGCACGCCATTTAATTCCCACCCACGTCTTCCGCGCGGTATTAAGATTTGCCCAATCTGTATTGCCGGGCAAAATTCGTCGTAAAATCTTCCGATTATTTCGATTACAAGCTATCGATGGAAATTTCACCGTTTCGAAAGTGCACCAAATTCTCCCTAATCGACGCTCAGATTGTACACGAAAGTGGAGAAACGATTGTTCGAGCCTCGCGGCTTGTTTTTATAGTTACCAATTGTCAACAACTATAAAAACGCAAGCCTCGAATAATCGTATTCTCCTCTTCCCAAATTGTCCATTTTTTAGGACAATCTGAGCGTCGATTAGGAAGAATTTTATTGGATGATAACGTCCATTTTGTGAGCTACAGAGAATTGTGCGCCATTTAATAATATACATAAAAAAATAAGATGAAAATGTAGGATACAAGTTTCTAATTCGAGGCTCTGCTTTAGAGAAAAATTAGTTCGAGTGTCCGCCAGGTACCCTAGCAGGTGCGCTAGCGTCTACAACAAGTAGAATCGGTTGGTCGCGATCAGACGCGTCGGTCGACATTTCTAAATAGAGCGCCTTCGTGTAATTTTCCAATCAACTTCTCTCGAAAACGGTGCTTCCAATGAAAAAAATTCGATGTATATTTTCGACTTATTTTTTAACGTTGAATTACCCCCTCTCCGTCCCGATTCTATTATTTCAATGCGAGTAGTTTTTTCACGAGCGAATTCTCCCTAATCGACGCTCGGATTGTATACAAAAATGGATAATCGTATCTCTTCTTTCCAAATTGTTGCAAGCTGTTACAATTGTTTACAAGCTGAAGGAAAATTAGAGAGCATTTACTGTACCGCTTAATTGTATCGGGTACACGACTTTACCCGAACAAGATTGTATTTCGCGTTTGATACGATTGCACGTTAATTAGTTAAAGAAGCCGAGTCGTCGACGGTGAATTTCGTCGAGCTAAATTAGCGATTCGCGACGTCGTCGTCGCGAGATCGTCGAAATTATCGAGAACCCGAATCGAGTTCTAGCAGCAGGTAGTCGGTCGAAGTCGCGTAATCGCGACAACCGTGGACTATCGATCCCATCGTGAATATTTTAAGATGTGTGTCGCAGACACGCGTGCAACGACGACGCTGCCGCGCGCGAGAAATCAGAACTCGACGAGAAATTCGCCTGCGTTTCTCGAATGGTATTCGGGGTCTCGCGGGGCGACGATCGCTTTTTTCCTTTTGCATAATGCTTTTTTTCCCCCTCCCCCAAGCGAAGGGGGGGGGGGGGAAAGGTGCCGAGGCGAGCCACCCTTGCGAGGCGGAGAAAAACCACGTCAGCGATCGCACGTGTGAGTAAACACGCGAGCCGGTGGCGCGTTGCTCCGAATTTTACCTACACGAACGCGCACAGCCTCGCTCCGAAATCCGCGCACGCGACGAACCGCGCGCTCTGGAAATTATTCCCTTCAGATCAGAGATTAACCGTATTACTCCGAAACTGCCCTTAACGAGCGACATTGTTCCCGAGCTGTTCGCGACGGCGGCAAGATCGAAGGTCCCGGAGATCCTTGAAACGGAAAGTTCGCCTACCTGATTGTCTCCCGTTTCGTCGATCCTCCCCCGAGGAGCTCCATGAAATCCCTGGCGTAAGAGCGCCGGGTTGCCGGCGCATCCAAGTCGGAGAAATCCATGGCAATCGCGGCGAAGAATCCAGATATCGTCGCTATCGATCAACGGTAACGCACTATGTGAACATTGCTCGGGGAGCCACGGACTTAACCGGACACCGGATTGCTATCCCGCGAGAGACGCGGACGGCTCGCAACGTCCAGCGGAATCGGAAACCCTGAGGTCGCTGCTCGAACTTTTCCCACCTATCGAAGAATCCACGGGTCGCGCACGTACGGAAACTGTCACACGTGCGTGTTATCGCTGGTGGTAGTAGCAGCAGCACGCCACACTTCTACGGATCACAAACTACAGCGGCGGACACTGTTCGCGGCTCACCGTGCGCCACTTCTCTCAGCGAGGGTAATCCATCCGGTAGCGGTAAAAACACACTGGTCGGCCTGTTATATAGCACTGTAATATCACTGCGGCGACATCGTCCAACGGGAGGACCACACTGTATCTCGTCAACGGTGGACGACGCACGAGGCACGCAGCTGTCAGGAGGAAGCGATCGCGAGGGTGTCGAGCAGCCCCGCCGATCTTCGTCCGTCAGCATGCAGCATCACGACATACGCGGATCGGCATACACGGCTACACACTCGCGTGGCTTCTTCGACGGATGCGTTCGAAGCAGCGGGAGGGTACGATCGCGCTTATCCGTCGTCGACGAGCGATGTCGAATCAAACGTCGGTCATTGAGAGCACGCACTCGCAGCCAGCGGAATCGAAGCACCGGTGCACACTCGGAAAACTGGTTCCTCCCCCGCGTCGTCGGTCCCTTCGAAGGCTCGATTAATTTCTCGACGCGTAGACGTCGACGATTTCGGCAGACGTGCGCTCGTTCAACATGGATCAGCCGACATCCGACTCGCGCGAGAGTTGATACGAAACTACTGGCGAGTTCTCGGTCGAGCGTACTTGCATCCCCACCACCGACGGCGCAGCTCGCCCCCACCCGCGGCTTCTCGTAGGGCACACGCGCCCCTTCCCCCTCCTTCTAATGGGCACGCACCGAGCTACCTGGAGCGTGACACACGCTCACATTTCTGGTGGGGGCTACGGTCGCGTGGCGGGTTGCCTTCGCGGTGGGAGAAGAGAGGGCAAGGGGTACGATCCAAACGAAAGGGAAGCGAGACAGTAGGGACACGACGCGCTAGGGTCGGACGGAGAGAGAGAGAGGGAGAGTGAGCGAGGGAGAGGAAGAGAGAAAGGGAGCGGGAGAGAGAGCGCGAGCGAGCGATGAGGAGACACGGAGCCGCGTCAGGCACCGCGCGTCCGCGCAGGCGCCTCGCTCTCCTGCGGGAATGTATCCTCGCGAAATGTTGGCTAAGTACGGAGCCACGGACATCCGTACGTACGGGATAACGAAGGCCGTAGGTGCAGAGACCTCCGCGCTTTATGCGCCCCCGACGATGTACGCGATTCTACTACGCGGATACACGCGATTCGTTCGAAGGTTACGCCGAGGGCAACGCGGTTCGGTCTTTACCTCCTTTTTCCGCTACCCTTTATCCGGGCCAGTTTTCGAACGACCCGTCCTCATTGGGAAACGCTTCGATCGACGCGCGCTTTCTCTGCCCCCGCCGAACGGAAAGACCGCGGAGGACGAATCTTAGGCCGTCTCGTCGCGCGGAGGAATATCAAACGGGCCTCGACAGACGTTTGCTCGTATAATAGCGCAGCCTTAAGCGCGATATGTCTTCGGAGCTTAGGTTTCGCTCTGCCGAAGGGTAAACGTTTACCATCGGCAAATATTTGGCCGCGTTCGCGGCGAGGGATACTTGTCCGCTTCCTTCGATCCGGAACGCGTCCGACCTGCGGCAAGGGGTCTCGTCGTGAAATTTTGAACCGCGTTCGGATCCGTTTTGGCAGCGTGCGCGTAACACGAATCGGCACGCGCACGCGCACGCGCCGCTCGATCCTGCGGCATGCGTCCTCCAGGAGGAATGCGGGCAGGCAAGTGTGTCGGAGACGAAGAACCCGACGCCGGCGACAAAGACGGTTACGGGGACGAGGACGAAGACGAAGATGTCGCCGATCCGACCGGAGACTTCCAGGCGCGGCTACAACCGCGCGCGCGATAACGAGAGTTACGCGGGTGTAACCCGCCGTCCTCTGGGAATATTGCAACGTTAACGGAGCACTGGATGGCTTCGAATATTTTACGTTCGTACTGCAGGGAAAACGGACACCCATAAATTGCCGGATATATTTGGTCGCCGATGGAATCACAGCTTCGGAGATCTTCCTCTCGAGCGATCGCGTCCGCGCTACCGTGCGCTAGCTTAATTTGTCATTCGAAGCTATTCTCGCGGACTTTGCGAGAATAATAGTCGTTGAATTTTGTCGAAAGCAGCGGCGAATTGGGATTATAGGCTTATAAAATGTCTTTCCGGAGAGATAAAAGGCATAATAGGTGATTGCAAATACACGGATAAATCGAAGATTATGTCGTTCGAAGCTTCATTTTGTAGAGAAAACAATTTAAACGTTTAATAGAGTTATGTCTCTCTAATCGACGCTCAGATTGTGCTGAAAAATGGATAATTTAGGAAGAGGAGATACGACAGTTATAAATAATAATAAACTGTAATAAACAGTTAATTTTAGCGATATTTTTAGCCAAAGTAATCAAAACGTTTACAAAAAATTGATCTACACTCGCAACCACATCTGTCAGAAAATCCATCCTACTAGTCTCAGTAACTGGTCCAAAATTTTGCTATCGACCGACCTAAGTGGACCAGTTACTGAGACTAGTGGGATGGATTTCCAGACATATCCCAAAAATCTGGAAAATTTTGCTGTAGACCTAGGGGGACCAGTTACGGAGACTAGTGGGACTGATTTCTGAAGAAATCTAAAAAATCCGGAAAATGAATTCTACTAGTCTCAGTAACTGGTCCAAAATTTTGCTATCTATCTAAGTGGACCAGTTACTGAGACTAGTGGGATGGATTTCCAGACAGGTCCCAAAAATCCGGAAAATGAATTCTACTAGTCTCAGTAACTGGTCCAAAATTTTGCTGTCGACCTGGCGGGACCAGTTACTGAGACTAGTGGGATTGATTTCCGGACAGATCTCAAAAATCTGGAAAATGAAATCCACTAGTCTGAGTAACTGGTCCAAAATTTTGCTGTTGCCTTAAGTGGACCAGTTTCTGAGACTAGTAGGATGGATTTCCAGACATATCCCAAAACTCTGGAAAATGAATTCCACTAGTCTCAGTAATTGGTCCCGCTAGATCGACAGCAAGCAATATTTTGGACCAGTTACTGAGACTAGTGGAATTCATTTCCCGGATTTTTGGGAGTGGGAAGGCATGTCATAACTTTATGTCTAGATAACACTAAAATTAAGTTGTTTTTTTTAAATGAATCTTTTCCTCTCGGAACGTCAGTAAGGGAGAAATTACTGTACGTGGTATATTGAACGCGTCTGAACATGAGAACATGACCTACCGATTCTACTTATGAATACCGAGGCGCGCGAACCCGATCGAGTTTCGGAAACATTTTCGATCTGTGTTATTGTACAGACTAAACAGAAAACTATGTACGAACTCTCGTTCGAACCGTCTCCATTATTTTGTCGAATCCCGTCAGATCGTGAAATGGTAGACTCTCCGAGCGTTGGAAGGACTCTCCGTCGAGCCGGCTGCAAGTAGAGACGTTTGCCAGGGACTCTGAATAAAAGAGCAGGCAATCTGGATCGAATCCGTTTAATTCCGACTGAAAACTGACCAAAGCGGAAACCAGGGAATTCCAAGACGGATGGAGCAAACCGCGCGGTGACATTACGTTCGACATACCCAACAGTGATAACGAGGAACGGTAGTACGAGGTTACGTCCTTCCTCGGGAGGATATTAATCCGTAATGATGCACTCAGCCCTCTGGATCTTCCAAGTTTGAGCGCGCCCCTACATAGATGTAGACAGAGAGATATATCGGGAGTAAGAAGCGGAGCGACAAGGGAACCGAACTCGCAACGCTCCGACGACGGTGGCCTTTTGCCGTATTCGCCGGCAGCCAACTTTAATTGAAATTAATCCTCATGAATATGCCCAATATTTTTCCAACGGTCTCCCGATCGTCTTTCGCGCGTTAGGGATTTTTTCACGGCCGTATTTGCCGTCCGACGCGAATAATCGTAGCTACAGACGGTACAAATAGACTGCGAATTTTTATTCAAAATAGGAAACGTCTTCTTCTCTTTAATAAATTTAATGGATCGGAAATTAAACATTAACGCGTTTCAATTCTTTTAATGCCTCTATCTTAAATTCCAATTATTCAATTTTGCTGTAAATGCACAAAATCCGTGGTCTATTTGTAGCGTTAGTTACAATCTAGTTAGCTCAGTTTTGCGGAAGTTCAACTCCGTCACCTCGAACACGGTTGAAATTAGAAAAGTACATTTATAATACGAGAGAATAATATCTTTGATCAAGCATTTCTTGGTAATGGAAGCGAATTGAAGGAAAGAATGATATTACCATGATGGAAACCGTAATATTTAGAAAAGGAAATTCATCCTTGTTACTCCATTTACGTTCATTTATAAGTAACGAGACACGACGATGAAATATTCATTAAGTTACTGCTTCCAAGACGCAAACCATTCGCCGAAAGGGAAAATAATGATATTTTAGTTGAAATCAGCCCGGCGAAATAAGAAAGTCTTACGTGCATTACATCACCCATCGAAGTTATTTATCGCGTTAGGATAACCGCAACCTCCGAACCGAAATATATCAACCGTTTCGAACAGTACGTTCGTAAAGCATAGCTACATATTTATTACGGTAAAGCAATACATACTTACGGCGGTGGAACCGGTTGCTATTGTAACCAATTGTTACGCCTTTGGTTTGCTTCGGGCACAATTAATTTTATATTTATGGAAAATATCGTTGATTCGAAAATGAACGAAACAAAAGAATACAAAGAACGCAATATATGTGCTCGTTCGATAAATATACAGTTAATTATGCCGGAAATCGATCGAAAGGCACCGGAATTGGTCGCGCCACGGTAACCGGCTCCGCTACCCCGTAGAAAACATTTCTAGACCCCGAAGGTGTGAGCAACAACGTAAGAAACGCGCACAACGAACCGTTTGACAGTTGCCTAAAGTTCGCTCTCCGCAGCGGCGTCAAATTATTTCTCATCTCCTCTCTTTTTCCCGGTCATTTTCTCCAGAACCGTGGAGCAGGAAGTGATTTCCTTCCTCTATTTTCGCAGGAGAGTAACGACGCCTGCGCGACCGAGTCCTGCGGGATCGTAAAAATGTATAGGATAAAGGAAGCGGCGGGAGGGCGGCAGGGAGAGGATCGGGGGTGCGAGGTTAAGTCGCTTCCCCTCGGCCCCGGGTGCTCCACCGGGTTTTCTTCGAACGATGAGAAACGTCAGCCTCTCGGGAACGAGAGACGCTCCCCCTGGTGGAAGATCTCTGTCAGCCGGTAAATCCTCGGACACGAGATTAAGCGGGGCTGCGGCTTAATTGATTTTCTAATGTACCGTATTAATGGATTGATCAGCGACAGCGACCTCGATGCTCGCCGTTGTCGCGCGTTCGACCGGCGCGACGCCGGATATCGACCACGGGGTTCCTCCCCCCATGGAAATCGTTCGGGCGGCTGGCAGCTATCGCTTTCAGCGGCACGAAGTCGATGAACCGCGTGAAACGACGAGTAATTACCCGAAAGTAACGGGCAACGGGTAACGGCGTCGCGCCGCGATCGCTGTCGGCTTAATAGAGAGATGCGCCTCTTTCTAATCTCGCGTAATGTCCCCTCTCGGCGTCGTTATCCGCCGGAGGAAATTCGAGTTAACGCAAAAGCTAGCTTCGTCTGGCGACCCGCGCGCAATCCGCGC